CTAAATTATTTAGGTAGCCTCCGTAGAGAAGTGCCTGTATTTCCAAAAACTGCGTAGTGCCTGCTAGGAACTGTGGGCTCATCTTTAAAAGTACTGTGTGTTTCAGAGATGTGTTTAGCACTTGATAGAGCAGTTCTCTGTTCAGACTCTCTGCAAACATCCCTCAAGTAAGTTTTGTTATAAAGCTTGGAGTTAGGAAGGAAGAATTCCTTTGGGGAAAAAGCAAGGTAGCTTTCCAGGGGCTGAGCATTCTCTGAGATAGCCTGTCCCTAGACACATTCACAGTGTAGTCACCTTCCTTTTTAAATAGGAGTCCCATATGATGTGAACCCTGCCTGTCTGGGTTTTAGAAGGAACTGAGGAGGGAAAAGCATGCTAAGCATGCTTGTGCAGTGTTCATTAAAATATGAAAGAAATAGCATGAATGCCAGCACAGGTAGTTCTAGGTTATTAAAAAAAAGTTTGGCTTGACAGATTGTGTAGAGTCAAATCACAGACTGTGGATGTGCATGTGCACAGCATGTCTTCAGATACCCCTAGTTGTTCTAGTACTTGGCAGTTGGTAAGGAAATACTCTTGGTAGTAATTTACATTTTGTGTTCTCTAATGCACTCTCCTAAAGGAACTTTTTTTTCCCCTCCCTGGTAAATTGTAGAGAGACCCTGGAGTAATTTAGTAGCCTCCCTCAGCTAAAAATAATTTTTGCCACAAACCCCTTCTTTCTGTGTTTTTCTCCTAAGCCTTCCATGTAATTTTTCTCAACGCCATCCAACTTCATATGTTGGGTTTTTTTTTTAAATGTATGCATCAAATGGTCTTGTGCAATATAACTAATCAGGATATCTCGTCTAGAAAGTAAACTGTGAAAATAAAATTTTTTTTGTGCAGAGAAACACTTAGGGCAAATAGCTCTCACATGATAACTTCACAATCAAGATATTCACACACTTCTAAAAAATTGAGACAAGTTAATTGAGCCATGATAATCGTGTTCTTAATTGCCATGTACAAAAATGTCATTGCCTTCCTGATACATGTGGAGCTGCTACTTAGCTTCAGGCTTTGTGTCAAGTTAACTTTTTAAGATAAATCTTCAGTAACTTGCAATTTCATGTACTGGTCTCATGTTTGGATGGGGGGAAGAAAAACAGACCAATTCTTACACATCAACCTATAAGTTGTCATCCTTTTGCCTTAATCATTACTTGAAGTACCACTGCCAAATCTTAAATAATTCTAATGTTCATATAGTTCTCCACTGTGTGCTTTCTGTGTTCTCAAATTGTTACCCTCTTGGTGCCATATGAAAATGTCATGTTTATTTGCCACAAAAGCAGCACAGTGAAGTCTAGAGATGTGATTGTTATGTAGAGCTCAATAGAAAAGAACTCAGCTTCTTGTTCTTCTTTTAGAAGATTGCATAAAAATATTACTGAATTTTGTCAAAACTTTAAAAAGCTTGCTTTTGGAAATTCTGATTACTTCTAATATATAAATATTCTGGTTTGATTTTTTTTTTTCCTTCCAATGCTTGTGCCTTTTTTTTTTTTTTTTCCCCTGTTGCCAATCTAAATTGCAGCAAAGACAACTGGTGACTGGTACTAAAGCTAGTATGAAGTTTGACTATTGTCTCAGATTTGAGTTTAGTCATTCCTTTTCCACGTACTAAGTATTCTTCCTCTTTTCTCAGTTTTAAATGTTGTGTGATATTGATAACATGGTGCTTAATCTGCCTGGATGAACTGCATCACTCACCCCATCTTTCACCATCTCAGCTCAACTCTGTATGTTCTGCCTGCAGCTTACTCTGCCTGCTCCTCTGATTGTCCAGGCCTTGGGAGTGGAAATATCTTAAGTCTGCAGTGGTTTATGTTCTCTGTAAATTAAACTGCTTCAGCATGATTAGAGTTTGGAGCTATGCTCCTTATTTGACAACATTTTGATGTTTTTGTAGTGAGTTTTTGCTTTTTCTTCTGGTAAGGTGATCTGTAGAGATGAAGGCAAGGAAGGCTGTGCTTGAAGGAATTTGTCTCAATTTCATTTCAGAGTAACTGGAAAAATTTTTCAGAATCTCAGTTTGGATTCTGTAATTGTGATTTAGCTTTTTCTTTTATAAAAATACCATTGAAAATGACATAAAATTTTTAGCTGTTTGAAAACACTAGCATTAATTTACCACAACCTTTGTAAAAGCTTGTTTTATTTACAGTGTAGATCAGCTAGAAGAAATACAGTTGTGAGGAAAGACTTTATACACTCAAATTTTACCTTTTATTTTTATAATCCAGGCAGGTTAAGGGAAAAAGTGCTCTTTCAACAAAAGATTTTCAAAAATTATGATGGGCTCTCCTCAACTGTGTTTAAGGAAAGCTATCCTTAGTTTGAGATAGAAAAGAACAGCATCAAGATCCCACATCTTCCTGAAAATAAACATTTGAACTAAATGTTTGCTGTAAGAGTGAAAAGGTGTATGGTCTTATTTTCACAAGAGCATATTCTGTAGAGAACTTCATCTTGTCTTTCCAGGTGACATAATGGAGGAAAGCAGGGATTCATTTTGCTCCTAAAATTTGCAGATTCCATAATTGTTGGTGAAGCACAAGACAGTAAGAAAAAAAAATTCAGAAAAACATTGGCCGTGCGGATTCTCCAGTGACTTTAAGGGATTATGTTTTTTTCCCTTTTAATGATTCCAGAAACAGCCGGAATAGGCCACTTCTTCCATATTGTTTCATTGCTAACATCAAGAAAAAGCTTGGTTAAACACCAAGATCACTACTTCTTAGTTCTTCAATTCTTACAAGTCTCCCAGATTAGTTTTAAAACAGTATTTCTGTTCATTGATAATGTTTACATAACAGCGTAGTTTACTGTATATATAATTTTTGTGATAATACCAACACTTTTGCAGGTTTTGGATTTTATTTTTGTTTAGATTCTTATAGCACTGTCCAGTTTGACTTTAATAAACATTGTCTTGTTGTAAATGCATTGTTTATAATGAGAATTTTTTTTTCCTGGATTAAATGTCATATTTTAAAGTACTGTATAGAGAAAAATACTGCATGTTTGTCTCATTTAAAGTTATACCTACGTATGTGAGTGTGCACACAAATATTGTTTTCCATATCAGTTATTAAGAGAAAGAGAAGCAGATGGTATTTCAGGTAATTCAGACTCTGTTCTGGTTTTAGCTGAGTGGATTAACTTGGCTGGTGTTTAGAGGCCTTCCAAGTTCTCTTCAGAAATAATTTCTGGTTTTCAGATTGTGTTTAAAACAAAATTAGAAGGTTACTTCTATAGAGGACATAAATATAGAACATGTGTATTGGCCATTAATACTCAGTGGTAAGAAAATGAATTTTTTTTATTGAAAGAAATTTATGAATAAATACTGAACTTCTAGTATACTGTATGCATCTCAGCCTAGCTCCATAAAATAAGGGAATGTGGATGATGCTTTAATTGCTAAGATACCAACCTTTTTTAAAAGAAAGATGAATGCATTGCTGAAAGTGCCTGACTCATCTGATTTGACTGCTGCAGTAAAGCTGAGTACCCTTCAGTTACCCGAGACTGAGAAGAGAGCTGCCTTTTGAAGCAGTGGTTGCTGCAGGCTAGGACTGGTTTAACAGATGAAATGGCCCGTTCCTTCTTCCCTGCTGTCCTTGTATTCAGTACCTTCGACTTTCACTTGATAGACTAGCTCTTTTGAACCTCCTCTGATTTAGCTGATGGTTGGTATTGCTAACTTCAGGCACTGGTTTAAAGTTTTGCCCCAGTCTGACTGCAGCAAAGGTTGTCAAATGGATGTGATAATTGAGTGATCTTTCAGGAAAATATTAAACTCCTCCATATTCATGTGGTCTGCCTATGAGCTGATGGAGTTTGCCATGGAGCTTTTTACAATTACAGATAAACCCCCTGTACCCAAACACCAAGCACAGCTTTTTCTGGGGTATATTTATTTGTGGTTTATAAGCAGAAGTAGCAGCCTGCTAGACAGTCCTACTCCAGTGCTTGCCTTTATTTGTGTGTTGGAGCCAGCAAGGTGAAGCTACACTGTTGGTACTCTTAAAAATAAGAGTATGTATAACTGTATTCATGCTGTTTTAAGTTACCTGTAAAATACTGAAGAACTTGATGGTAATATAAGCAATGTGAAATATGTTGAAAATTTAAATTTCTACAAAGGCAGTTTTTGAAATACAGCCTAACTTGGCAGCAACAGAATCTTGAAATGCATGTTATATTAAATATTTTATATTGGATGTAGGTCAGCAGTATCAGAATTGCTATGCTTGTAACTTTTATAGGTGAAGGTAGATGTCTATATTCTAATATTAAGCAAATTTAATACCTATTTCTCCAATTATTTTTGTTAATACTCCAATTAACTAGTATTCTGCAATAGTGTGATATGTACTTGTTGATTTATAGACAAGTTTATTTTGTCAGAAAAAGTTTAATGTTTTAGCTAGTCATATGAAACAGTTACAAGAAAGAAGTATGTATTTAGAATAGTAAAATTACAAAACGCAGGTTATGCCCATTTAAAAAAAGTATACACAGAGGCATGTCTGTGTAAAAGTCATATAGTGCTAAATATGTAAATTTTTACATACAATGTATATCTGTATAGAATATGGCTTAATGGATTATATTAACAAGTTTGCTAGAAGGCTGTCTAGGTAGAATATGACTTCTAGTTCAAATATGTTTGGAAAAAGTATGCTACTTTCAGTGATGTCATTTAATTCAAATAACATTGTAATTTTAGAAAAAAATATTTGTTAAACTCTAAGTTTGTTAGCTTGTAAATACTTTTGCTAAATTCATATTCTGGAAAGTTATGCTTATTTATTTTTAATAGAAGGAAGTATGTCTTATCCAACATTGTGTAAAGTAGCAAACAGGATGATTTCTTACCTCGTTCCTTCTTTGTGCTATCAATTTTTTGAAGCTAGTATTTTATTAATTTTATTTTTGTTTTCTTCTAGTTGACAGCACGATCACTGCCTTCCATACAGTCTGATGAGAGACTACAACCTCTGCTTAGTCATCTCAGGTAGCATAAACTGAAAGCATGAGTGTATTCTTTTGTACAGATTAAAATAATTTCAGTATTAGAGTGTTTTAGCTACAGGTTTTTTTCAGATGCCTCATCTGTGCTTTGACTGGAAAAAAAACAAAACCCTGAAAGCATCTCTTCAACTTAACAAACCTTTATAAATTACATGAAATATAATTTACAGAGCTGGTATTGCTTTTAAGTAACAAGAAAACAAATATTTGTAGCTTTTATAGAAACTTTTTTATAGTAAGGGAGAAGTCATTAAGTATCTCTGAACAAAACAGATTCTAAATTATACTGCTGAAAGTATGGACCTTCCTTGTTGCAAATATTTTATACTCTCTGATCTTTTGGAAGATTTCTCCATCACTGTCATTGACAAATGGAGTCCTATTTTGTTCTTTTAATGGACCTTAAGAGAGCTGAAAATGTGAACCGCTAAGAGTGCTCAACACAGTTGAAATAGCCTGCCTTTCTCTTAGTAGTATACAGTATATAGAAGCTTAATACTTCCTTTGAATGTGTTTGGGGATGAAGAGTAAGAAAAAAATACTTTCAGGTTAAGCGTAGATCTGGACTCTGTATTATATACAGGAATGCTTTTTACCACTTTATATTGTTTGGGAAAGTTTTCTTATTATGGTAGTATGTTTGAGGACAAAGGCCATACAATTAGAGGGAGATGCATTGCCTTAGAATCACTGAATAATTTAGCTTGGAGTGAACCTCTGGAGATCACTTAATCTAGCCCTTACTCACAGCAAATCCAGTTAGATCAGGTTGCTCAGGTGTTTACTTAGTTGAATTTTTAATATCTCTAAGGGTAGAAATTTACTTAGATATTTAATGTCAGTAGTGAAAGCTCTGTTTTTGAACACATACAGCTTTGCACTAAGATCACTGAAATGGTGTTGGATGAATTAGAAACAGAGGCAGCGAGGCTCTATCTGACAGCACTGCATTGAATTTAGGATCCAGATCTAGACAGCATGCTCTTTTTTTCCTGTGGTGCTTGAGCTATCTGTGCCCAAAACCCAACATTGTATTTTGATTAAAAAACAAAAAACAACCCTCATAATTTTTATTACATAGGAACAGTTTCGTAGTTGGCTTTTAATGTAAATCAGAATAGGAAAAATAGCTTTCATTGTATCTCATTTACATATGATTGAATTTTGTTCAAGATCAGTGAATGGAAAGAAGTATTGTGATGTAGCTGTTACGTAGCTGGTTAGGGGATACTTCTGAATGCCAATAACCTATCTTTTTATTACCATACATCTTACTGGAATTTAAAAAAATGTGCCTCAGTGACATACCTTTCTCCATTTGAAGCTAAAGAACAATTAGGTTAGCTTTTTATAAATTGTGCATTTTACTAGTCATTACTGAGAAATTTGAAATTTCTTTTGATACATGCTGTGCATCTATGTAAGTGGAACAGCCTTCAGTATCACAGCAATCACAATCCTCTCTGTGCCTTTTTTTTAATATGGGAAAAGAAAAGGTTGCAAAAAAGGTAGTTTAACATCAACTATTTTAACAGGGATACTGTATCCTACATTTACGCAAAAAGGTATTTTTTGCAAGTTCTTACGTTAACTTGGATATGTATGTTTAATGACTGGTAAGTTACTTCCATTTTGCTTATGTAAAAATGGAGGGGCTATTCCAAGTACATTTTGTAACCCATTGAAAAACTACACAAATGCTTCTGAGCTGCCTTTTTGGAAGTTCCTTTAAAATAGACAAAATACAACAAACCTTACAACTTGAAAAACAAGCTCTGGCAGTGGACGGATGACTAAATAGGTCTTCTCTGTTATTTCTTTCTTTCTGTGAATCTGTGATTTGTTTTTCCTTCACCTTGCTCATAAGAAAGAAGAATATTAGTTGTAGGATTTTCCTTTGCCTTCATTGTGTAAATTCTTACAGTAGTGTTTTATTTTTGGCATATGTCAATAGAGCTTTACCACAGGACCAAAATCTTACACAGAAGCATATGAAAAGAGCATATAATTGAAGGTTGCAGAGCGTTGTTTGGTTGTTAATGCCCCACACATTTTTTGACAGCTTTTCATATCTGCTTGTGACTTTTAAATTAGCTAGTCCTCAGAAAATGTCATTTTACTGTGGATTATGGCTGCATAGATATTTTAATCCATGCCCATTTTTTTAAATGGACATTTTTTTTTTAATTACACTGTTCTGGGCTAAATATGTATTTTATCTGTGATTTAGGTCCTCTTTTTGTCCTATTCTGTTTCATTGGTCCTTTCTAATATTAATTGTACTAGACCAAAAAAAGAGAGCATTTTTAGTTAAAATGTTAAAATATTTGATGCAAGATTTTGTTTAGAGATTTTGCATGCTCACAGTAGGAGATTTAAATTGCTAGAACTTTAGCAATTTAATAGAAATGGAAACTTTTGTCTAAATGCATAAAAACCCCACTTCTGCAACTCCTGCTTTCAAAGGAATTTATATGGGTTTTATGATAAAATTCCAGGGTTGTAACACTCTATTGCTTTAAATCTTTAGCATGATTAATTTTGAAGATAGACAAAAGCTGTCGTATGTAATCCCATGAAACTACTATAGGACTGTGCCTGTACGTGACTTATAAGGAGAAGCTGAGTTGGCTTTGCTTAGTCTGGCAGAGAGGAGGCTTAAGGATGATCAAATAGCAGCCTACAACTGTTTGAAGGGCAAACATTGCAGTACTGGAATTCTTGATGGTGCCAGAGGATGTAACAAATGACAGTGGTCACATATAACAGCTTGGGAGGTTCACATCAGACATCAGGAAAAATGCCTCTGCTAGAATGATAGGTGTAGCAGATTGCCCAGAGATGTGGAATCTTGGTTTGTGGACATTTTTAGGATGCAGCTAGAAAAAGCTATGTCTCACATGACTAGTCTTGGCGGTAGTCCCAGTGGGAGTGGGGTATGGAATTAAGTGGCCTTCTGACTTCCTTTACAACCAATATTTTGTATGATTATATTAGTTCTGTCTTCAAATGATAGTTCACAAGGTTGATACAGAAACCAAGTGTTTTACAAGACTGGATTTTTTTTAATGGATAATGCAATACTCATGAAGACATGTTCACCCTATTTGTCAGAGGGTGCTCATCTCACAAACAAGAAAAGAAGAATGCACACCTTAATGGACTAGTGTCACATACTTTTCTTAATATCTACAAAGTGCCCTACATATCCTTACTAAATCTCATGATATACTAACACATCTGTGAATGATACAGTATTTATCAGAACAGTCCTACAGCTGTTTATTTGAAAGACGTAGATCCCTGTTGTGGTTTGAGCTCAGAAAGCACCTGAGCACCCTATAGCTGCTCACCCACCCCTTCCCCCTCAGGAATGGTAAAAAGGAAGTAACTCAAAAGACTTGGGAATAGAGGTAGGGGCGGAGAGGGATGACTCATTATGGTCATGGGCAAAAGACAAGACTTCTTAGGGGAGGAAAAAGAACATCAATTTAATTCAAACACTAACAACAAAGCTTAACAAAACAGTAGGACAGTGAGAAATATAACCACATCTTAAAAGCACCTCCCCGCCCCCCCTTTCTTCCTGGGCTCAGCTTTGCTCCTACTTTGTCTACTTCTTCCCCGCAGCAGCGAATGGGGCAGGGGATGAGGGTGTGTGGTCAGTCCTACCACTCCTTCCTCCTCAAGGAGAGGACTCCTCCCACTCTTCCCCTTCTCCAGCGTGGTGTCCTTCCCATGGAAGACAGCCCTCCATGAACTTCCTCTGATGTGAGTCCGTCCCACGGACTGCAGCTCTTCCTGTGCTGCTCAGGCATGGGTCATACCTACGTGTTGCAGTCCTCCCAACGCTGAACTATAACAATGTGGCTTCCCTCAAAGTCCTGGCCTTCTCTGGATACAGCCACCTGCTCTGGTGTGGGGTCCTCCATGGGCTGCAGGTGGGCATCTGCTCCAGCAGTGACCTCCATGGGCTGCAGGGGCACAGTATGCCTCTGCTCTGGTGCACCTTCTTCCCACCCCACCTCCCCTCCCCTCCCTCTTCCTTTCTTCCACTGACCTTGGTGTTTGCATAGGTATCTTCCTCACAACTCCTCCTCCTAGGTTTGCCTGTGTTATGACAGAGCGTGGCCTCCATCGCTAATTGGCTTATCTTTGGCCAGAGGCAGGTCCAACTTAGAGCCAGGGGAGCTTCAAGAAGCTTCTTGCAGGGGACCACCACTGTAGCTCCCTTCCCCACTACCAAAAAACACACCACACTCACAAATCCAACACAATCCCACTCCTGGGAACACTGATATGGTAGAAGTTTCTTCTTGGTCAACAGTGGTGTAAATGTATGTATTGATCTTTAGTTGCAAGATATGTTTAGAAAACTTTTGCTAACTAAGATTTTGGATTTTTAGAAAGACAGTTTTTAAGTGATTGAGTCAGTCTGGATGGTGAGAGACAAGAATTTATATACAGAGGTAAAATAAAACTTTTTAAAAGTGAAAAGTGAAGACATTGCTGCTTGATTCCAGTCAACCACAGAAAGAAGTTATGAAGAATTGTAGGTATTTCTAAGTGATTAAGAAGCTTGATCAGGGTCAGGAAGTAACCTCAAAGCCACGTTGAATAAAAGAAAGGATGAATCCAGAGTAAGAGCTAAAACTGGAAGCAAAAAGAAGAGAAGAAAGTGGGTGTGATCACAAGCCTGGTTGGTTTGTTTTGTAATGTGTTTTCAAATTAGCTGTAGGAAGCTGTTTGGCAACATTTAATGACATGAAAAAATGAGAACACAGAAAAAAGGATAATTTTCTTTTTTTCCCAAGATTGTTGATAGTTTGGAATAGAAATGTAGAGAAAATAATGGCAATCTGTGGAGAAAAAGTGTTTTCTTATGATGAAATCAAGGGACCTGTAGAATATCTACTATAGAAAATCAGAAGACCTGGCACCTAAAATGGCAAATCCAAAAGCTCTAGTTGCTTGAGCTCCTTGGGACAGGAATCCAACAGCTGAGCTGCTTAATGCCACAGAACCACTGTTGCCCTCTTTATGCCCAGCTGCAATCTGCCATGTATTCTGGATGACTCTTTTTCAGAGCACAGCCTTTGAGGGTGGTTTGTATGGTTCAGCTCACTGGTGAGTGGTGTCAGGTATCAAAAAACTTGAACCTTGCAGAGATCATATGCTACTTTTTAATGTAAAAGATAAGCAAACATTTCTGAAAAACTTTTCCTGTTTGCTTACCATACTGAGAACAGTTGAGCTTCTCAGAGTCCAAAAAGTATTTCTTCTCCCTCCTAACCCCGCACCCCATTGTCTTGGCATTGGGACTTCTGTCCTTGCAGTGAAGTTTCCTGCAAAGTCCACATGTAATGATCAGCAAGATTCAGACAGCATGTTCTCTTTTTAGCAGTAACTTCTTAAGTCTGTCTTTGTTCACCTACTGTATAGGAAGATTGTTGTGTCTTCTCTTTGGGCTTCCTCTTCACAGGCCAGTTCTTTCTATGGATGCTAGGAATAAGTGGTTTTCTTTAGCTTAGCAATGTTTTTCAGTATTGTTATGATTCTAATATATACTATAGGGTACAAGCAGTGATTGTGGTAAAGTGATCTGTGATCTAAAGTGGTAAATCTGAAGTGATTATCGTAAAGCAGCTTAAGAAGTTACCAGCACGCATCCTGGTATATGATAACTGACTGAATAGTCATTTGTGTAATTGTTCTGGGTTTTTTTTTTTTTTTTAAAGTTGCCTAAGCAGCAGCTGTTTTCTGTTCTATGCTTTGATTGTAATATTTTTAGGACTGGTTTTTATTTATAGTTTGCCTAAGTGATGCAGATCTGGTTCTACAAGTAAATTTAGATACCTTTTTAGTAGAATCAGTAGTAATAGACATACACAGCTCAAATACTTTTAATTATTTATCCATTGTTGTGTAATTAAAAAAAAAATCTATTAAGTACGGTAAGCTTGCCTGGTGCTTTAGTGTGTGCAGAAATAAGACTAAAGAATGAATGAATGAATGCATGTATAATTAAACAAATTATTTGTCCAGTAGTAAAATCAACTCTTACTCTTTTCATGCTTTACAGTATTGAGATGTCACAAAATAATCTGTAGCACCTAGTGTCATAATTTAGCTAAATTCCTTTTTTTCTGGAGGTAACCTCTGTATTCCTTCAGAAGATTTAAGAAATGGTCTTTAAGTTCCTTGTACTATCTCTCTTGCACGAAGAAATTTGTTCTTACCCAGACTTTTCAACCTGATGTTTGGACCAGTGTGCTGTATCTGAAGCCCCTGTTGGCTTTGTTGCCTGCTCTACTCTCAGCTCTTGAGTTTGGTTGCATTCTGCTCTAAGCATTTCTTTTGGCTTATTCTGCAGCCCTGCATAAAAAGCTGGGCATTAAATGCTTGTGTTTGATTTGCAATTACTTTGGAGATGATGTCTACATGACTGTCTCTGCTATAGTCTAGGGTTACTTGAATTTAGCTCAGGTATCACAAGTAGCTTCATTGCAGTATGGATGAATGATGAGGCAGCACTTGCAAAGTCCTGCACAATTTTGGTTAGATAGCAACTGTCAGGAGTTAACCTGTGTTTGTAAGTCAGTTCTGCAGTAAAAGCCTTCCCAACGTTTCGTTGGTACACTCAATTAGTTTTTGAGTTTATACTTTTCCCTCACTGTATATGTTCATAGTGATACATTAGTTTGTTTTGTTTGTTTGTTTTTAAATGCTACACAAGTAGCAAAGTACAGGAAGTTTTTGATTACTGGAAGAAAGCAAAATTGAACCCTGCTTTCACAAAGAATAAAGAGAAGGATCCAAGAAACTATAGACTGGTCAGCTGCATCTCAGTTCCAGACATATGAAGGACAAGGTGATCATCAGTGGTCAGCATGGATTTGTGAATGGGAAATTATGCCTGACTGACTTCATAGCTGGTCATTTTATCATAGAAGTCTAAATGGATAGGTGGCAAGCAGTGCAAGTTGTTTATATTGACATTAGCAAGGTTTTGACATTGTCTCTTGCAACATCCTCATTGACAACTGATGAAGTATGGGCTAGGTAAATGGACAGTGAGATGGACTGAAAACTGGCTGAACTACTGTGCTCAAAGATTTGTGATTAAAGGCATTAAGACCAGTTGGAGGCTAATCACTAGTGGTGTACCTCAGGGATCGATACCAGGTCCTATATTTAGCATCTTCTTTAATGTCCTAGGTGATGGTCTAGAGTGGGCACTCTGCAATTCTAAGATGATACCAGGAGTGGTTTACATCAGATGGGTGTGCTGCCTTTCAGATGGACTTAGACAGGCTGGAGAAATGGGATTACAGGAAACCTATGAAGGTCAACGAAAGGAAATACCAAGCTCTACATCTGGGGAGGAATAACCCCATGTACCAGTGTAAGCTGAGGGCTGAATGGCTGTGAAACAGGGTTGCAGAAGAGGACCTTGGGGTCCTGGGGGACAACAAGCTCACTGTGAGCCATCAGTGTACCCCTGCAGTAAAGAAGGCTAATGGTATCCTGGGCTGCATTAGGAGGAGTGCTGCCAGCTGGTCAAGGAGGTGATCTTTCCCCTCTGCTCAGCACTGGAAACATCACATGAAGGGCTGTGGCCAGTCCTGGGCATCCCCAGTACATATGACGAGAGGCTGAGAGAGCTGAGATTGTTCAGTCTGGAGGAAATAGATTTCAGGAGGGGGTGTCTGTGAATCTTAGTGACGTGTATAAATAAATTTCTGATGAGGGAGAGTAAAGAATATAGAGTGAGACTCCTCTCAGTGGTATCCAGTGATAGGCCAGGAAGCAACGGGCAGAAACTGAAATACAGAAGATTCTGCTTAAACACAAGAAAACACTTTTTTACTGCCAGGGTGGTCAAACGCTGGAACAGGTTGCTCAGAAGGTTATAGTGTCTCTCTCCTTGGAGATGCTCAAGCCCCAGCTGGATGAGATGCTAATCAACCTGCTCTAGTTAACTGTTTTGAGCAGGGGATTGGACAAGATGTTCTTCAGAGGTCTCTCTCAGCCTTAATAGTAGTGTGATCCTGTGATCTAAGTTCTGAATCACCCTTCCACCTCCTCTTGGATAAAGGGAGGGAAGGTTTCTTTACCATGTTGACTGTAATGTTGGTTTTATAAATCTTAATTATTTGAAATACTGTTTCTTGATTTTGCCTAATACAAAATACTTACAACCCTTAATTGGTAAAATAATTTCTTTCTGAATTTGTAAACTCAAATATTTTTTTGAACAGTTTTAAATGATGCTTTGTTTTTCAGCCATTCTTATGTTGGCCCAGATTACAGCGTGCAGAAGAACACTGGAAAAATTTCTCTAGAACAGATAGATGCTGTAAGTCCTCTATGCTTATTGAGCTGTATTGTATGTTGATATGTAACTTTTAAAATTTAAATACTCTATGTACAGAGAACATATAAAGCCTTTTTTCTGATTCATACTTGCTTTTGTAACTCTTGAGAACTACTTGAATGAAATTGTGGTAAAGTTTAAAATGGAGCAGAATTAACGAAAAATGCATCTCATCAGAATTTAGACTGGAGCTATAATGAATTGCTTAATTTGCTGCTTAATTTTGTGTACTTTCACAAATACCTCATGTAATTATAAACTGAGTTTAACAAAATTTTCTTATTTAATAATTTTGCAGCATAATGATGTTCATCTTATGATTATTGCGTTGCAATGTTAGTTTTTTCGGTGCTGGTTTTTTGACTTACAGAAGGGTTTTTCAAAACAAGAAGGTAAATAAAATGGATTGTAAAACCACCTCAATGGTGCAGAGACAACTAAAACCATATTACAACTCCTTTATCTGAATTTTAGAAATCGTTTATGTTTTCAGTGTCCATCTTAACCATGACAGTGTTCCTTTGGTAGTGAATTCCACAACATGACTCATGTTATAGATAAAAATGCAAAGCCCAAGTAAACTTGAATGTTACAGTTTTTTCTCTCTGAGATCTTGCTTTGTAAGAAATGGTATTCTTCAGGGAAAAAACCTGCAGATCAGTTGTAATGGATTTTACTCCTGCTCATAGTTTTTCAGAGTCTTTAAAAAAAACAAGCAATCCTCCTGCCTGCTTCCAACCCCAGAATAATCTAACAAAGGTCACCTTGCCATTCCAGAACCTAAAATAAGGAAGAAGCAAGAAACATTGGAGTAATAATGGAACTGTGGATATATTTTTCCTCATGGCAATTAAATTTTTCATACTATGTAACTATGTAACTGAAAATAATTCTGATACTACCACCTGTATTACTCTGTCCTTTAGATTTTGTTCTTGAGATGGTTATTGGATATGATAGCTTAAGGACACACTTGTGTTACCCAAGGTACTTCACACATGAATATCTTTTCTTCTAGCCATTGACATTGTCAAGTGGAGCTAATTAATAAGCATATATTCAACAAATTAAATGATCATTTTGCCTTAAACACAAATTCTTCTCTCGACAGCTTTCTGTGAAATCTTTCCCTCTTTGCATGCGCCAGTTGCACAAAGCCCTACGTGATAACCATCATCTCCGTCACGGAGGCCGTATGCAGTATGGCCTGTTCTTAAAAGGCATTGGCTTGACTCTGGAACAGGCACTGGAATTTTGGAAGAAAGAATTTATCCGTGGAAAAGTGGATGCAGACAAGGTAAAAATATCTAAATATGTGAATGTGAGGATATAGTTAATGTGTACATTGTGCTACTTATTTGGATAGATACTTGTTAAAGTAGATAATTGAGCAAAAGGCACAGTAACATCTTTCAAAGGTAGGGTTTTTTTTCTTTCTTTGCTTATGATTTTATTCATTTTTTTGGTCATTCTCCTGAAGCATGGGGGAAAAAAGGCAAGCCACAAAGAGGCTTTTTATAGATGAGGACTAGAAAAATCTTACATTACTTCTAAATCACTAGGAAACCAATGTCCTTTATCAAATACTGGCACTATTTCACCAAGCAGGTAAGTGACCACAAATGGTTCTATCTGGAAGGCAAGGTTAGCTGCTTTTTTTTTTTTTTGTCTAATTAAAAAGAATAAATTAATCGGACAACTGTGTGTGAGGTGAGCTTACCTTAGCAAATTTACAGTCTAAAAAAAGAAACCGGAGGTGAATGAAGACAGAAGAATCTGTTCAAGGAAATAGTAGGAAAATGCGGTTCAGTGCAATGGGCAATATTATTCCCTTCCAGTACTTAAAGGGGGCCTACTGGGAAGATGGGAAAGGACTCTTTATCAGGAAGGGTAGTGTAGGATGAGGGGTAATGGTTTATAATGGAAAGAGGTGATTCACGGAAACAGGCTACAACTCAAATAGAGTTATAAAGCAGGTATGTTTACTCTGGTGCCGGGGTGCAAGGGGATTTCTCCACAAACCTTGCACACCAACAGCACATTTTACCAAAAACTTAGAGTGGGTATACATATTCATTGGATTACATAATACAAGTATACATATGCCTAAGTAAGGCTGGGTTAGTTCGAAAGGGTGATGTCAGCAGTTTGTTATCTTTGCTCCTGCGCATTGCCTCCAGGTGGTCGTCTTGAGGGGTCTTTGGGAGGAAGGCTTACAGTCTTATTCACCTTGTACTTTGACTCGGAGCGTGCGGATATTCTCTTATCCAATTTCTTGAATAATGAGTGGTTCCTGCTGGTTTACCACCTCTATCTTATCTAAAAGCACCAGTATATTAGTTTCTACCACCCATATATGGCTATCTCTCCACTACAAAGACTAAACTAGTTGGAGCACATCTGCTTTCCAAAGACATGTTTCTTATTTTTGCTGAACGTTGCAGTTCTTAGTAAGTTTCCACAGAAAACTGCTTTGTTTTGATAAACACAGTAGTCCTTGGTAAGCTTCCACAGAACAGTCAGGGCAAGCAGGATTATTAAGCAATATTAAGAAATCATTATAAGTTGCTATAAATAAATAAGTTACAAAGCAGGTGATCATTTCCTTGTATCAGAGGGTAGATTTAGATTAGATATAAGGAAGAAATTCTCTACTGTAAGTGTGGTGAGACACTGGAACAGGTTGCCCAGAGAAGTGGTGGATGCCCTTTCCCTGAAAGTGTCCCAGGCCAGGTTGGACGGGGCTTTGAGCAACCTGATCTAGTGGAAGGTGTCCCTGCCCATGGCAGGGGGGTTCGAACTGGGTGATCTTTAAGGTCCTGTCCAACCCAAACCAGTCTGTGATTCTATGTTACTATTCTATGATTGACATACTAGTCATTGATCTAACCCTTGCTAATATATTTGAGAGTATCATGAGTGAGGAAAGTGTAACATACATGTGCTGTCTCTTTAAGAGCATGAAAAATGTTTGGAGGTTTGTGACCTGCTCCTACCTTGAACGGGCAAGGTAGAATCAAGCAAGCTTCCACTCTAATCCACCTCTGCCTAGCCCATGGTATGTGGTAGAACAGATGTTTCAGACCTTATGTCCGTTTTGTTTGAACTGTGTTACTTGGCATTTAATATTGTGAAATCTCAACTTTCCAGAGTACTGTGAAGTATTTTGGAGTGTTTGGTGGTCAACCTTTTGTTAGCTTAGGTTCTCTGGCACATGGCTATTTATACAAGATACAGGGCAAAAAGTAGTGCTGGATACAGTGAATTATGGTATGTATGTCTCTTTCAAGCTGTGGAAGTTAGATCAGATATTTTTGGGAAGGGAAAAGGGATTTGAAGGTATGATTTGAGTGAGTACCTAAACCTCTGTAAATCTAGCTCCTTAAATGGGATGTGATTTAAGAGGAGAGGTATTTTGTTAAAAAAGAATAAGCCAAAATTCATTCCCTTAAAAAGGTTTCAAGAAAGGATTTGGAGAGGTAATAACTTAAATTTTGCAGTTGAACACCAATTCAGCTAGTAATTAAGCTGAATTCAGGAAAATACAGACTTTTCCCTTGTAATTTCTTGTGCTTAAATGAAATTGAAAGAATAAAAACGAGCTATCAGAAACAATAACAATGTAAACATATACATTTATTATTTCTGTTTAAAAAAAATATTATGCGAACAAGTCTGATTCCACCTACTTGTGCTTAGACCCTAGGTGTATGGACACGTATGAACACATGTATGCACCTTGGATCCTGTTCTCAGTCACAGGATTATGACTTAGTACTATAGCATCACTCTTGATAGGCCCTAGAAATAAATGAAGTTTTATGGTCCTTTGTTTAGCTTTGAATGTTAGAAAGCATATTGTGAATTAAGCAAGGGGTTCTAGTTACTGCATTTCTCACAAGCAAGCTGCTATTTCCATGTAGTTTTCATTCAAGTTCTAAAGAACCAACTTCAGTCTGGGGTAAAAAAAAGTTGATTTTTCACACCTGTAACTGAAATCAGCAGCCTGTGGCTTTTCATGTAAAATGTCATTTAATGTTTAATGTCCTTAAAAAAAAAAAAAAAAGATTAATATAATTCTTATTGGTACTTTCTTCTTTTGACATTTTTATTTTCTGACACTAATGCTGTTGTTCCTTTCCTGTAGATTGGAAATAATTATACTGTTTTGTGTTACCAGAGCATTGTGAAGATAAGTGCGTGATACTTGCTGAAGACTAAGGTTAATTATTTGTTACTGGCAGTTGTATTGCAAAGAGGGAGTGTTCAATTTGCTGCGAATGGTTATGGTTTCAAAATTGTGTGATCACATTTGTCTTTAATGGCTGCAACATTTATGTCAATTCTCAATCCAAGAATTCTTGGCACACAACTTCAGTCTTCAGCAAGAAGGAAGTTACCTTGAACACATCAGCAGTGCACTGGAGTGCCTACCACCAGGCTAAGCATAAGCATATGGAAAATTTGCAACAGAAGGCACTCCTTCTGTGCACTGATGTGGACACATTCCAAGGTTGATTAATAAAACCACTGTAGGAAAGTTTTTTAAGAAATAATATTTTACTTTGAGAGAGGAATCTATAAAGTATGTTGTAAGTGAAGTGTGAAACCATGTATTCAGCAGGGAAAAAAACACAGAAATCAAGTGCCTACAAAGAAAGCACTGAAACTGGTAGAACTGCTCTGTTAGGGGAGAGAATGATCATGTACTGGCATGTTCACAATAGGGACAAATGCAGAGTGCAAAATTAAAGATTTTTTTTCTTTAGGAACTGTAATTAAAATTACACAGCAAATTGCTGGTCTAAGAGTGCCTAAATGGTAAATTATTGTTGTTCAGATGATAAACTGTCAAATGGTGGTAGATGTGTTACTTCTGACTGAATGCTTATGCCAGCTGGCTTCATAACCTCAGTGTTATTTTAAGGCTGGTTTGTTTTTTCTATAAAATGTAATCTTACTCTAAACAGATACTAATTCCTGTATGTTCTTTCATATCCTGTTCTGGTTGCTTAAAATATGTCCTGTTCCCACTCCAAAAAAGAGTGGGGTAACTCCAGGATGCTTTTAAAATACTTGAAACAAGAAATTAATAAGGATAATCAAGATGAATTAAATAATTACAGTACTGTTGTGAAAATGCTCTAGATAGCTGAAAATAAAATTATCTTATAGTGGAGATTACTTGGCTGTTACTGTTTTCAGATCTATTTGTATTATTAGACTGTGAATATGAAATCAGAGACTCAAGATGATGTGGTGTTTAGAACAAAGGAAAGAATGAAAGATGGATCAGTTTGTTCAAGGCATTGTTCAGTTACTTCTTTAGCTACTAGCCTGTGTCATGGTTTAACCCCTGCTGGCAGTTGAGCACCAAAGCACCACACAGCCACTTGCTTGTTCTGCATTTCCCAGTGGGGTGAAGGTGGCAGTTGGGAATAGGGAGAGAAAAGTAAAACTTGTGAGTTGAGATAAAGACAGTTTAATAGGACAGAAAATGAAAGGAAAATAATAATAATGATGATAGTAATAATAATAATAATAGAGTATACAAAACAAGTAATGCACAACACAGTTGCTCACCACCTGCTGACTGAATCTCAGCTCATCCCTGAGCCTTGTCCCTTCCTCGGCCAGTTCCTCTCAGTTTATATACTGGGCATGATGTCATATGGTGTGGAATACCCCTTTGGCTCATTTGGGTCAGCTGTCCTGGCTGTGTCCCCTCCCAGTTTCTTGTACCCCACCCCCCTCTCCACCTCTGCTGGCAGAGCAGCATAAGAAGCTGGAAAGTCCTTAACTTAGCGTAAGCCCTGCTCAGCAACAACTAAAACATCAGTGTGTTATCAACAGTATTCTCGTCCTAAAACCAAAACACAGCACTATACCAGCTACTAGGAAGAAAAATAACTTTATTCTAGCTGAAACTAGGACAGGCTGGAATCAACGTTTTGATACAGATGGATGATTTTAAGGCAGCCCATCACTTTCTGCTTTCCTTTGCTTCATATATACTTGTGATATATATTCTTTGCAGTATTTAGTGCATGGTGGCACAAAATGCTCTCTTCTAGAACTCTGTACTCTTGATTATTTACCAGCAGAGACAGTTTCTAGTTGTGCACTTCTGTGCTGAAAAGCAGTATCAATTGTAATTTGATATTGCACTGATTTTTATTATTGTTGCATATGCTGCTGAAGTGCATCTGAAAATTGTGCAAGAGTTTAGTTTTTAATTATTGATTTATTTAATAAATTTCTAAAACCTAAGCATTACTATATTTACAAAATAATCCTGATGACAAAACAGCTTTCTTGTCCTTGTGACTTCATACTGAGAAGGAGACATGACTGTTTAGCCCCTGTGTTCTAGGACTCTTTCCTGGCAGACGTGATGGCTTCCGAAGCTTCTCATTCTTTCTCACTTAATTTTCCAGATAGTCTTACTGCAGTTTCATATGACTTGTTTTCTCTAGCAGTTGGTCAAAAGTGGCAATGGGCAGCTTGTTTCCTAGTTGTCAGAGGTTCCTGTCTGAGATATGCCTCTAGTGAAGGTCCTCATGACAGACGTTTTCCTGGAAAAAGGAAGAAGGAAGTTTACTCAGATTTAACCTTGCTCGGGCTCTGTGACTGATGAAGAAGCAAAGTTCCTTCACAATGAAGCTTTTGAGCTTCAGTTGATTATTAATATATTTTTAGATGTTTCTACCACACATGATCATGTATGAAACTGAGGACAGACAACTTGCCAGTCATATACTGCAATAATATATGAAGGAATACATTTCCTACAATGTCAAGAAGTGATTAAAACTTTGGGATGGAGATCACAATTGAGATAGTTCCAGTGATTTGATTTTCCTGGCTCCTCCATTTCTTTTCTAAATGATCTTAGGAGGTTCTCGAATCTGGATTCAGGAGTGAGGCTTTACCTTGACTACAAACAGCTGGTGGTGAATGTTTCTACCAGGGCCAACCACAGATTGTGTGAGGGGGAGCTTGGTTGAACTAGAGACCTCCTGAGGTCCTTTCTGGTCTGAATTATCCTGTGATTCTGTGTATTGCTCTGAATACAGATAGAAGTACATACGTTTTTGTGAGGGCCAGCCACTAGAGGGAGACAAGATCATAAGGAATGAACAAATACCTCGTATAGATGTAAATTAGAAGTGCTTATGCTATAATGCTTTGTATATCTATGCACTTATATTATAAAAAAGCCCCATGTATTTAAATGAAATTAGAAATAGGCACGTGATTATCTGCAGGGCAGTGCTTTTAAGCATGCACATCTATGCCCAGTGTAATTTATAGTGCATGGATGATGTGGTGGTTCTTTAAAACAACCTCCACCTCCTTAAATCCACAGGAATGCTTTTTTCTAGGATATAAAAAAATAAAAATGAAGCCTATATTACCTGTAGAATCTTATCCCTGTGAAATCTGTGGAAGAGTGTGTCATGGTAACAAAGTATTAATATAGTTAAGCATATTGCCCTTGCTTTTATTGGTTGTCAGGGGACTAGATAGTCATGTTCTTGATTAAATTGTATTTTTGTGTTAAAACTCATCATAAAATGAAATAGATTTTTTTTTTTCCTTCTACCACCAACAGTAAAAATTAGCTTCAGTAGAACCACTTACTCTTTGTATTTCTCTTTCATTATTTGGAAGTAATCGTTTCATATTCTGTTTGTAGTGAGATAGAACAAGTGAATTTTAAAGATTTTGAGTGAATCATTTTTATTCTGTATTGGCAAAAATGGCATTCTTTCATAATATTATTATATGTTGAATGGCTATGCTTACCTAGTATAACTGAGCATAAAGAAAATCAAGACTTTTATGATATGTTTCTAGATCTTTGTATTCTACAAAGTTAGCTCTTGAAGTTGCTTTAATAGCAGGCTAAAAGTGATTTAATTGTCAGAAGAAACATGAAAATGGATTTTAATTTACATGACTCATTTTCATTCCCAAACTTACTATTGAATTTCCATTAAACCTTTTCTTTAAATTCAAGTTTGAAGAAAAAAAACAGTACTGTGCAATTTTTATGGGATTTTCAAGACAGTAGATGCTCCAAGTGCATCCTAAGGGTCATGTAGGCTTGAAGTAAAAATTAATATTTAATTTGAATTTCAACACCAAAGGCTAAAGAAAAGGACTTTCAGATTTCATTGTTCCTGAGTTCTTTTGTGTAGTTTTGGTTTAGGTTGGTGGTGTTTTTGGGGTTTTTGTGTTGTTTTGTTTTTTTTTTTTTAAAGCATAGTCCTTTGTGTCATTCCTCTGAACAGCCTGGTCTGTGAAATCAGAGTATTTGTGCAAAACTGAGTGGTTACTTGTCTAAGATGCTGGTTGTTAGGAGCTGAACATGCCAGGGAGGTTGGAACTAGATGATCTTTAAGGTCCCTTCCAACAAAAAACATTCTGTGATTCAGTTGCCATTAAGATTGGATTATTTTTGGCAGTAAGTGTATCACAGTAAGTACATTAAATCTATGCAAGATTCTTGATGTCATATATTATAATTTTTATCTAAAGTTGTGTTTTATAGATGGGAATTTGTTCTTAGTGTCTTTCATGTCCTGTGCACACTTTTTTATGCTTGCTAGCCTTCTGTTCCCTTCTCTTGTGGAGCACTTCAGTGTTTTGAAACACTCAGGTGAGTACTGTTGGTATATTACTGACATACTGGTCAGCATGATTTGATGTCTTCAATTTGTTTTGTATATCTATTGACCAAATCAGCAGGGAAGAGAGCTGTAATGGATCCTGGAAGTGAGAGGACTAAGAAAGCATGATCACTTGCATTTGATGGGGGTTGCATTTTATTGTATTCCAAGAAGTATGATCAAATATGAATAACTTCTTGTGGAGTCCTTTTCAGTTCTGCTAAGTCACAGGAAGAAGCTGGGATAAGATTCCTCACTGACTGTATCAAATGTAGAGAATATTAGCAATGTCTCTAAACATATAACCCTGTCCTAAGGCTAAAGGGAAGTCACTATCAGTGTTGTCAGTGTTCCTTTTGTTCAGTGTTGTGGACACAATCATTCTGGAAAGACTGTAGAAAATTAGTGCATCTAGTGAAAGCAGGAGAGAGCTGTTTGCTTCCTATTTAATTAAGCATCATGAAATCAAATCAAAATAGTTTAAAGTTGTTTGTATCAGATGGTGATTTTTATTAGGGCTT